TTGTTTATCCTAGTTTTGCACCTTTAACCATCTGCACTGGGGCATCGAACAGTCCCCCAAATGAATGATATAAAAATGAACAATGTAGAAAAGGTAATTGCTGAGCAAGGAATTAACAGGCTATCCTTAGTATCAAACTGCAAATATGATAATTATGCCCTTTAAGTGGTACAGCTTCCCTTGAAGAATCTATTACAATTAATAGCAGTATGGAGATTTTGATACCTTATGACACTTTTTATTTTGTGTAATTTAATAGGATTATGTCAGGGATTCATGTCGAAGTTAATTCAGACTTTTATCTGCAGCAGCATCAGATCTTTGTGACTACAGGACATTTTCTAATAATTCATAGGACTTTTGGTTTTTAAAAGTAAAGTAGTAGCCTACAATATGTCATCAGATTTCATTTGTTTGTCTTGCAGAGCATTCTTTTAATTAGCACTTTAATTTAAATGGAAATGAAAAAAAGCTAATTTTTATTATAGGGGATTGATTTTATGTTATATGCTCAGCTTTATCTTAAATATTCAAACCTTTATTTGCCACTTTGGAGAGGATAAGTTAAATTCTCCTGAGGCTCATTAGTCAATAATCGATTCTACCCTTCTGTCATTAATGGAACTATTTATAGGAATTGATTGCTATCAGAATGATTTTTGCAATATTCAGAACAAATTGTTTCCACATGATGTCAGCCTTTCGCTGTGAGACTCAGCATCAAATATAATGAAGTGGTGTATTTTTGCAAAGGGGCAGTGGTGGCTGAGTACTGGACTAGGAAGTGGCAACGCTGGCTTGCTTCTTATTTACAGGCAACCCAACTAACACATCATGTTACTGAAGCAAGGCAAACCCATGAGGCTCAGAAGTGGCGAAGACTGGCACAGCAGAAGAATCAAGAACTGGAGAAATTTCGAGTGGAATTGGATTCAATATTAGATGTTTTATGTGAACTGCAGAAACAAGGGGTTGTTATTCCTGCACCTGATTCCAGTGGATTCAGAATGATGGACAGCTGCTGGAAGACATGATTAGGTAGTAGTTGATTAGAGAAGTAGAATTTTAATATTCAAAGTTATGTGTAGAAAATGTTATTGAAAATCATTAATGTAACACACATAAATTGAATTGCATTCTGATCTTATCTGTAGTCGTGCATGTCCAAAGGTAGATTTGCATCGAGCAATACTCCAGTCATTTTGTATGTCTTATATTTTGTTAGTAATAAAGTTACATACAATTTTTTTTAAATAATAGGAATATTGAGGTTATTCCATAAATTCAGTTACCACTGAAAAATTCCCTTTTTCAGATACTGTACTTCATGGCTGAATATTTTTAAGTTTTTTTTATAACTTGTGTTATTGTGATTCCTTTGTGAACAATTTGAGTAACTAGCTCAACTACTGAGTAACTATTTGTATGTTTAGTATATAATGAATTTCATTCTGTAGGGCAGGAAAATCATCTTTTTCCAGCATTTTGCTTCTCTCCCTTCAATTCATATAATAGTCCTTCCCTTCTCTTTAAAATCCCTTCCAACTTAGTGAATGATTGGAGGCCTAGAGCAGAGCAGACATTCCCTGGTGATGCTCGGATTCAAACTGTTCTTTGTTTACTTTTCTGGTATTTCCAACTGTGCTGGTCAGAATGATGGCAGAGTGAGTTAGGGGGCAGATTTAAAACAGACTATAAAATACAGTGTGAGTAGTCACTGGTATCCCTTTTAAAAAAGAAGGCCATATTGATAAGGTTTTTACAATGGGCTGTTCAGAATCTGACAGCAATATCTTTATAGACAATCTTGACAGACCAAAGAGGCCAGTCAGATGTGAAGACAGTGTGCTAAAGCTCAGACTGCAAGGATGTGTCAGTGGGCAAATTTAGAGTTAAAATACTGAGCAACTTACAAAAGGGGCCAGAGAAAAAAATCCAAGGAACTACTATTGTCCTTGAGAGTGACAAAAGAGACAAGTATGCTTAAGCAGGAGTAATCCACTACCCAAATACCAAATGTGGATGTAACTTTCTGCTGAACTGACAGGCATCATGGCAGGTAACAAGCAATGTTAGAGACTATTGCCTTCTCCCTCTCCTCAGGCCCTGCTGGAGTTACACACCTGTGCTGTAGAGCAAGTACATAGAAGCAATTCCTGCTGCATCACCAACGTGTACCTTCGTGTGCTAAGCTTTTGGTCTCCTATTTCAAGAAATGGACCCAGTGGAGGCAAAAGAAAAATCATCCCACTAAAAAACGTAGCCTTAGGAATCTCTGAAGCCACAGGGGCCGCCCTGTTCCAGAGGGGAGACTGGGGAGGGAATATGAGCATGGTTATTATACTTGATATATATGAAAAACCTGCTGCTAAAAGGAAGAAGCAGTAAGTTAAAATAAAGAAAATTCAAGATAGGTATTTGGTGGTTGGAAGGGATGGGTGTCCAATAAATCAGTAAATTATTAGTTTGAAGTTTCAGTGCTGCAAGTCCTTAAGAATCCCATAGCACATATATTGAGGTTGTAGCTCAATCAACTATACTCATTTAGGGCAAAGAGAAGATAAAAGCTAGAATGTGCTCTTCAGGTCCCTGTGGTATTGGTTGAAGCTATCATTTAAATCGAATGTGAAATAGTTCAGGCCTGTGCATGTGTATTTACGTGTCATGTTCTTCAGGGACCAGCAGTAAACATGCACTTTCTCTCATACAAGCATGGGACTGAGCATGCATAAGAACAGCAGAGTGTAACAAATTATACCCGAGTGCAAGGTTTATTATTTTTTTTGGCCCACGCACAAGCATGAGACTGTATACACATATATATAGATATTAAAAAAGTTTGGCCAGTTGCCAATTAATATAGTAATCTTGTTTTTTTTCCTATTTAGATATTTTCAGTATTTCTACTATGGATATTTTGATCCTATCTAAAAAATACTAGTGTATGTTCATAAAATGTGTAAATATAATAATGTTTTGTATATAAAATATCAACTCTGTGTAAATACGCTGTATTTTATTGAGTCTGTTTTGCAAATTAAAAGGATAAAATTAAATAATATTGCAACTTACCCTTTACTTCCTGTACAATTTGCTATACATGTAACACTGTATTAAAGTGTATGACCTGAAGTGTGAACTTTTTAAAAATTAGAGCAACCCTTGTGTTCCCAGAGAGGTCAGCTCCTGGATGGGGGTACTCTAGGGCACTGCCTAGGACAGGAATCCGAGGGGGAGTATTTCTGCTTATTGGAAATTCTCTCAAATGTTTAATGCTTAGGTCATCAAAAGAGTGTCTTAGTGTTTATGGCATTCAACACTTTTTAAAAAAATTCTTACACTCAGTTCTCAGCAAATGCTGTTATCTTACACAGTTTGAATTAAATTCTCTCTCTGTCTGTTTTACTGAGCAGGGACAGTATTATTTATCATTACTGTAAGATATAATGTGGTTCATATTGTATTCTTAAATGTATTTATGTAGTTGTACACTCACTGAAGTTTTTAAGGCATTTAGCATGAAGTGAGCACTCCACACAGTAACAGACTCTCTCTGGGCTTGAATGACTGTAGTTGGGGTGTTCCTTTTGGAGAACTAAGGTCCAAGCTTTAAGTTCTCTGCTAAAGTTATTAGTTATTTACTCTCCAGCAGTCTTCACAGTACAGAAAGGGGAAAATACCCTGAAATTGCACAAAGGCTGACAAAACAAGTGATAGCTTTTACTAATTATTTCAGTGAGATCATTCCAGGAGTTACATAATTCTATACTCCTTATGTACGTTTTTCCTCTTCTTGTGCTGTCCTATTTCATCATGCATTTTCAGGAGGCAGCATGATGGATGGATTAAAAGAATCAAACATAATGTCTTTAAATCATTGTTTGATGCTTAGCTGGAATTCTTCTGTTTATAGCAAAGCAGGTGGAGTATAATAATTTCAATTGTCATGTTTGAAGCTTTTAAGAAATCAAGTGAGCAGCTGGCTAGGTGACTCAGTGACCTAGATTACAGAGAATGCATTGCTTCAAGAGAGGTAAACAATGTACAGAAAAGGATCAGATCTCATCATGGCACTTGGGACAGAGACAGCAGCAATGTCTTCCATTTCAGGTTCTCTGAAATACATGTCAAAATTGTTCATGTAGCAAGTTAAATAGGTTATCATGTATGAAGACTTTATTTGATAGCACATAATACATTCTGAAGTCAGCCACTCTATCCCGTATTTCACCTATTTTGGAAAATATAAGGATAAATAAAGGGTATGCTAGCACTAGCTGTGCAAATCCACTTCTGCAGGGAGGGGAGGACCTTGCATCAAGTGCTGCCCTGACTCTTTTGAACACAAAGTTCCATAACTTTGAATTCTAATTAGCCTTTCATAAAGCTAACCACATACCTCTTGTCCAAAAACAAGAAAGCACATGCCTCCAACTCTTGCTCTTGTTGGAGAATGTATGGTAGAAGGTTCTGCCTTCTGCTGTCCTTGCTACTTGTCACTACCCAATGTGGGAACAAGCTGAGTCAGATGCATCTTCATTCAGTTAATTGGAATCAAAAGGGAGTGTTTCGGCCTTGGAGCTGAGAGGGAGTGTGTGAATCAAAACACTGAGTCTGCAAAAAGTCCTGGGAATTCTAGTTAACTGAATGGCAGCAGCAGGCTCTGTTTACCTGAAGAGGTTAATAAAAGGGGAATGCAGAGAGATTTGTGGAGAAATTCCGAAATCGAATTCTCTGTGTGTGTGCAGCCTCATTTCTTCAGCACCCATATCTGCCATACCTGAGGCTAAAGAGTGGCAAAAAATGTGTTACAGTATTCAAGAGTTAAAGCTCAGGTGAATAAAAACTGCATGAGAAACATACATCATTTACTTCACCTTTTAGTCTCAACTACTGTATAGCACTAGATTTTAGTAGTTCACAGTTTTACCTTTCCCTTTCTTTTCTATATTGAGCAGGCATTTTCTGATTTTGCATTTTAGGTTTTGGGGTTTTTTTTAAAAAAAAGGTACACAGTTAAAACTTGTTTACATAGAAGAACATTTTGCAAGTATTCACCTTTGAAAACTGGAATAAATAACCTAATAAGTTCTTACAGAATACAAGACGTTTATGCATGTAGTTATCTTAGAGGAGTTGTCTATCTCTGCAGTTAAATCTACTCATTTATAGTGAGTTTTGAGAAGAGGCTTGAGGCCAAACAATACAAAAACTCACAAAAATTCCATTTTCAAACACCATTAAATTCCAACTATTCATTTTGAAGGATTACCCTGGTCAGAACACTTTCTATTCACTTCATAATAAATGCACTTATTGGTTTTCTGGATAACGATGAGTTTTTTTAAACATGTTATATATTGCCCTTTCCCCTGAGGCAAAATATCTCTGTTAGTTCCTAAAAAGGAAAAAGAAAGGAAAGAAAGCTTTAAAATAACTGCTTTTGAAGACTGCAGAACGTTTCTGCATTTGCCTTTGACTCTAATGCAGAGGCAGAAAGAAAAACTGAATCAGACTGTGTTGCTGCCACTGTGTGTCTGAAGTGGTGTGAGAGCTTTGCAGTGGGGACTGCCAGGTTATTTTTCTGTAAAAAGCAGCATGAAGGACTTTAAAAATAGAAGGGGAAATAAGGTGAAAAAAGTATAACCATCATCGGGGAATAACAGAAGCAGGAACCAAACACTTAAATAGCTTTACAGGATTAATACATGCTTCAGAAGGACACTTAGAATACAATTCAAGTGTGGTGTTAGTTAAGTTGACATTATCTCTTTGTCATTTTATTAAATACCTTTCATCTAGGCATTGTCACCAGCATCCATACACAAAATGCTTCCCCCTTTTCTCCCCAGAGTAGCACTTATACACCCAAAGAAAAGCCACAAAGGTTTAAGGTAGCAGAAGACAGACTTAGGCTAGCCTATTGGGAACGGCAGCATTTTCTTTTTCTAAAATCAGACCTGCATTTTTTGAAACATCTGAAACTTTTGAAATCTCTTCCCCAAAAGGCTTGTCAAGCACTGGAACAGGCTTGCTCGGGGAAGTGGTGGAGTCACCATCCCTGGAGGATTTAAAAAGACACATAGATGTGGCACCTGGGGACATGGTTTAGTTGTGGCAGTGCTGAGATAATGGCTGGACTCAGAAAGATCTTTTTCCAACCTAAATGGTTCAAGGAAACAGTTTTAAATGCTTTTAAAAAACCCTTCATTTCTTGATTGCAGAAGAGAGGGATTCTACGCAGACTTTTCTCTCCTTTAAGCAGCATTTCTGTTTTGAAGCATGGCAAAGGAAGAAAAAAATTAAGAAGAATGGCTCAAACATTACTGAAGGCAGCTCTCTAATTCAGAAATAGGCTATAAAAGCCATGCTTAGTAAAAGTCCCAGAACTTGTTAGCAAGAACAATGTTGAGCTTCAGTTCAGATAGCTAGCAGTTATTTGAAATGCCTCAGCAGGAAGTAGTTGCCACATTCGGAGGCAGATTTCCCAAATTTCTTAATTTGGGAAGAGAACAGTCCACAGCTACAGCCTTCAAACTTGTAGTTAAGCACTTCTGTGAAAGAAGGCCTTTTCTGCACTTGAAATGTTTTACTGGAGATCTTGCAGCCCATGGAGCCGTGCTCATTTAGAACAGGGTTCACTTCACTCTTCTCCTGGAATATTTTCAACAAAAATCTGCTAGTTTAAAACAGTCTCTGCTTTGTTTTAACTATAATCCCATTACTTTAAACAACCAGCAAGTAGTGTAAGAATTACATTTGAAAACAGGAAATTTAGCAATAACTGGTTTATAACAAGGGCACAGAATATAAAAACCAAATATGTTTCCTGCACATTTTTAAATTCTTTAAATATTCAACCCATTCACTACTTATTCCTATCTGTAAGGTGAAGGAAGAATTAATTAATCAGCATTTAAGTGTCTGGAGAATGTATCAGCAGGCCACTACTACATTTTCCCTCCAACACAGACATGTTGTATACAAAGTAGGTCAGTTTCAGGAAAAAAAACAAACAAAACAACAACAGGCACAGTATCTGGCATCCACTTATTTTCATTTCAGTTAAGAATTTCCTGCAGAGCATACTCCAAATCAAGCAAAAGATTTGAACCTGGTGCCTCTGTATCTTCTGTGCTTGCTCTAAAACCGTTTGGTCATTAATTACCATCTTTTGAGGAAAGCTGAAATATAATTTAAGTACTCTCTAAGGTTCAGAACCTTATTCCGTCTCTAAAAAATAAAGGTTGAAACTACACTTATTCAATTCCTTGACAAACCTTTAATTGGGAGAGTAGCTGAGGTTGCAACACCATCCCAATTGAGTACAAAAAGAAGATGGAACAAGCAGAGCTTAGCTTCACATTTGGAGCTGGTGCTCTCAACAGTTCAAAGCCTGCTAGCCCTTCCATGGCCCAGGAATAAAGAAAGGGCTGTTTATAAAGCCAAAAAGTGTAGGAAGGTTCAGCCTATAAGCAACATATAACACCAGCTTAATGTTACATTTGCATGTAGTACCTGCACTGGCAAAAGAAAAATAGTTTTTTTCTTATTTCCTGTGATTTAGCTACTGAATCCTACACTTACTGAACTGGAAGTTCACATCAGCAATTAAAACAAAAAAAAAAAAAAAGAGTCAAATCACGGTCTGTGTTTGTGTGTAGAATACTAATTCCTCATCATCACTGGGCAGCTGTTGGAATGTCACTCTGAAGTACTGTAAGTACAGGCACCAATTTGCATGTGGTGATGGCATTTTGTAAACACTGTAGCCAAACAATTTAATTTGCAAGGTATTCCCTCTGGAAGCTTTGTAAATTGGCTTTAACCTACACCAAAACCAGTTAGGAATCAGAAACTGAAGCTAATCCCAAGCAGATATTTATTGTGCTGCTTAGTTTCAGGCATCGTTACTGGAAGTAGCAGAAGCTACAGAACCTCCCCAGAGGCCGCCTGTTTATTCCTTACTTCAGTCTCACTTTGAGATTTACACTTTTCTTGGCCAAGGAATTTTCATACACTTCCCAGTACCAGGCTCCAGCCTTCACAGTCCTCATAAATTGTTACGGGATCCTTCAGAAGCTGGTCATAAGCAGTCCTTTAAAATCAAAGAACAAAACAAGAAACAAAAAAAAATAACGAAGCAAAAATAACGCTGGCTGGGCAAAAAGTTTAGACCACAGAAAACATCATAATAAAGCATTTAGTGTTTTACTTCTTGTCTAAACTGAGTTCTAGTACAATAAAAAGCACAGCTCTGAAATACCTTCTGTCAAAATAGCAGAAGGCCAAGAAAGGGTTCAAGCTGGACAATCTTTTACCTTAACATAAAAGATTTTTTCAGTCAAGGATCCGATGGGAAGATTGCATGACCAATTTGCTTTCTAAAATGATTGGTGGCTCTGAGATGAGGAGATCATCCTCACCTAATGAAGAGTTCTGCTCAGTGTTCACAAAGTTAGGAATGTTAAATTTTGGAAGACAATGTAGGTCTTCCTCAAACACTCCACTGCTTCTGGGAACCTCCTGGAAGTGGATATTACTCTCCAGACCTGGACCTTTCTGACTCTCTTTTGCTTTGTTCATATGTTCCACTTCATTAATACAGAAATGGAAAAGTGACTGGGATTCTTCAGCCATTTGACGAGAAAAGACCCTCTCAGACTCCAGAGGTCTTCCAAAATCTGCCACAAAGCTATTCATGCGAAATCTTTTTTCAGAAGGCTCTGCATTGCTAGGGAGAAAAAAGAAAAATACAGTAAACATGAAAGTAGAACTATTTGAGTCCTTATCAGCAAATTTGGTGGTTTCAACAACCACTATGATCAGGAAGAAAGGAAACCCTATGGTTTATCTACCACAAACTTTTAAAGCCAGCAATATTGATTATTTTCTGCTGAAGCTATTTTAAGTCTTGATTTTTCATGATAATTTTCCATGGGAATAAGTTAATGCCAGCACTCTTAAATGACACTTCCAGTAAATATACTGTAATAATCACGTCACTGAATGAGCTTAGAAATACTCTTCAGGATTTCCTCTTGATATCAAGTAGTATCAAGTAAAAACATTTTTTTAAATGGCTTATAAGAACACTTTGAGAAAAAAATCCTTGATAGATAAAATCTTTCTGAGGCACAGGCAGCACTGCTCTCACTAAGGCATAGCTTGAGTACTTGGTTGTCCAGACATCAAACCATCTTTTCTCCCGACTTCAGTCGATGACATTCAGATTTACAAATTAGAAAGGGCTGGAACTAAAGACTGCTTCAAAGATTGACAGTCTTAACAATTCAGGCACACAGCCCAGGAAGGACAGTGAAACATATTTCTTTGGAGTTTTCTATATAAATCTTAGCTCAAATCAGCACCAATCTGCATGGACTTTGCAGGAGCCATAAACACGTGGGGGTGAGAAAAGCTCAAGCTAGATGGAAGTCATACAGTAATACATTCTTTTTGAGGCTGAATTTATATGCTATCATCACAAAATGCAAGTTATTTGCATCTGAAATGCAGAAGAGGTATTCAGAGGATGAGCAATGAAAATCTAAACATATTCTCAGAATATAAAATCTGTTAAAAAATCATACTGTTTACATCTGAACATGTAGCAAATGACACTGGAGTCAGATAATTGGACACCTAAAGGTGCACCCAGCACTTAAGAGTTTTTCAGAAAAATGCTGTAATTTAATTCTCTGAAGCCTGCAGTAAGAGATAAGTGCCTACATGCTTTTGAAAGCCTCAGATGACACCTTTAGAAATCTACCCTTAAAACCTTGGAGTTCACAGAATGCCTACCATTAGTCTTTCAGGCATAGTTAACCTTAAAGATCTCTGCTTCTTAAATGCTAATTTACTTCCATTAGATGATAGAATCCTGTCCTAACAAAATCACTTCCACTAGCCTTCAAATCAAAGCAGTTCTCTAGTTTGTCAAAACTGTATTGGCTCATCCTGCATGTCAAAGTGAAGCACGTAGAAGAATAACATTTAAACTGATGCAAGACAGACCAGTAACTAATAATCTACTGTATACACACCAGGATGCAAACAGACTGGAATAATTTTGCAGTAGCCTTCAGAACTGACAACTGACATTTATATCTTTGTAATGCAATAAAAAGCACCACTATATGAGTCTCCTACATAGTTTTGCAAATCTGTCCCAAGAGTTTCCATGCAGTACTGTGGCACAAACAGGGGAGGTGGCAAATAAGCACAGAAAGAAGAAAAAGCACTGTAAGCCTAGGAAGAAGTGACTGCAGAAGAAAGCTTAAAATGCATCCACTAGAGAAGTAAAATTTCTTCATAGGTGGAGAAAGTGCTTTATAATCCAGTGAGCTATGAAGGAGCAAAGGCTGACAATGCAGAGGGGCACACAAGACTGGCAACAGCAACCTAATCTAAATGGAAGAATAGAAGATGTTTCTAAATTTTACAATGACCCAGAATGCTGAGGACATACTATAAGGAATAATCCTGTGTTCATGAGCAGGGAACACGTGGTCTAATATACAGTGATATTTTTGGATTCTGAAATTCACAAACACAATCTCAGTATTTTGGAGAGGAATTTTTTTTTAACTAGACTAGAAACTTGCATAGTCTTGCTCATTACAATATGCAAGAACACTTCAGCAGATACCTTTTCAGAACACTTAAAATAAGAAAAGCAGCCTCAGAAATCCTAGTTTTACTGTGGAAGGGAGCACAGCCACCTGGACGATCAAATTCCTTTTGCAATATTTGAGCCAACACAACCCCCTGAGTTCCAAAAGCTGCCAACAAGAAAGCAGAAAGGTGAATGACTTATTCAGGGAGACACCTTGAGCAACATACATACTGAAAACCACTCAAAACAAGCAGTTGCCAGTGAACTTACCCAACCTCCCTTTTATGGGAATCTTCCAGCCTATGATGCTGGGTTCTGGTCTGCTGGACTCAGCATTAAGCTCTCGACTCTGCCCACTGGACTTGAGTGCACTGTCAGGGTACAGACCATTTTGCCCAGTATATCATTCTAACAGAAGCATACTAGATTGGGACTGACATTTGAGATTCTTCTATAGTTTAAATATCCCTTCTCTCAACAGTCTCTGAAGTGAGGTACTTGGGGTACAAGGGGTACTTGGCAAATGATGGAAAGGAATAAGGAGCCAATCCTCCAAAACAGCAGTATCCTAAGGGGAACTTGGGCTTCTGAACATATCCTTAGTAGCAATCCTGAAGTGCTACCCTGAACCTGAGAAATCTCCCTGAACAAGTATTCAGCAAAAACATACATATATCTGTAGAAGTTTTTGTTTCAATGAGTCTGCATTTCTCTGACAGGGTTTCACCTTAGAATCCTTAACCAAAACCAACTGATTTCTTGGCGAAAAAAAATTCTCTGTCATTTTTTTACTGCGAGTAGTGGTACAACTTGCCTAAAATGCTACACAAAGCTTTGAGATTACACCAGTCAATATTTTTTACAGATAGGTTATACAAACTCTTGCATTTATTGCACAAATGTATTTTTAAGGACATTTTCACATGCAGAAACAAAGAAAGCATACTAGCTTCTCCTGAGTGATGAATGAGAGCATTTCTCAGACAGAAATTCAGTAAGATTTTCAGCAAAATTTTTTTGTTGCACAAGCAAATCTTCTACACATCCTAATATGCAGGCAAACAAAAGAGAAATACAACAGACAAAATTTCCATAACTGATTATATTTCTGCCTCTCCCCATCGAAATCCTGACCCTTCTGGTCTGAGAATGTATCCAATTCTGAACATCTTTTGTAATTCTGAAAAATACATCCTATCATGCACCTTTATATTAAGCCAAGAAAAGCATATTACTAGAAAAATCAGAGTATTCTACCTCGGATCCATCCGAGTCCAGTTACACTTATCTCTCACATTAATGGTACTTTAAAGAACAGCCAAATAGCCTTGCTGAAGTCAGAGACACATCCATCAATCAAGCTGGCTTTCTCCCAAGACCTAGGAATCCCATTAACATCTATCTAAAGGAGAGCTGCAAGACAGCCTGCTAATGAAACGCCAAGTCATGAAGAATCCAGTCGGGTGTAAAAACAGAAGATGCAGGCAAACTAAAATCACTGCTCTGCACTGGTTTTACAGGTTGGTGTTCTCCAGTTTTTATATACATGTATCAGAAATAAGAGGACACCGGATTCCCTGCACTTAGTGTATTCCCGGATGATCCATGTTCAATACCACACACATTTCATTATCAAACGTCAAAAAAATAGTGCTCAGATTTGTTGAGTGCCAACTCAGCGTTCCTAGTAAGTGGGAGAGCACTCAAGCACACAGATCCCAAAGCTGCAAAGAGGTTTAAAGCAAATACAGAAAGGAATAATTGGGTTCACTTCAGAAACTGAAGAAAAATTATATTAAGGTTTAGAAAGGAAGGGACTTCTGGAGGTCTCTAGACTGATGATAAAGGCAAGGCCTGAATTCAGGTCAGTTTACCTGGATGTAGAAGCTGACCAGAGATGGAGGTTTCACAAACTCTCTAGACAACCTGTTCAAGAAAATTGATGAAAAACATAGAACAACAGTGGGAGATACTAAGCAGGCCTCTGCTACCTAAAAGTACATTTTTACAAGTGTAAAAACTTCTGACAAATATTTATATTAAATTCTCTATGTTGCATATTTGACTTAATTACTTCTTCCCCTCTCAAATTATTCACGTGGGATACAGATTCAGATGCTCAGCTAATTAACAAGGTCTTTAGGGGAAAGGGGCAGCACACCAACACTTACAAGGACTTTGAATTTGTTTGGGAGCAAGGTTTGTCTGCTTTATAACAGTCTGTAAGGGAAACAAAAATACCAACAAGTCGGATCTGGTAAGCTCAATTCTTCTGCCTCTATTTTCTTCTCACAGAAACAAAACTTCAGGAGCACAGAAGAAGCTCACAATATACATATGCCCTCTCTAATGTGGCCCTGTCTTTAGAGATGTGCTATTATGTGAAGTTTCAGAGCCAGTCTACATATGATTAAATAGCAAAGGGCCTCCAGTAGGCAGAGACAGGCTGCTTTAGGAAGCAATAAGCCCTAACAATTGCCTTTCACAATCAGCTTCTCATCATTGCTACCTGTCTGCAAGTGTTCTCACCTCCTGAGAGGCTTTTTATTTCTACTTTATGGCACACAAGTCTGAGAGGAGATGTGGCTTCAAACTTTCTCATACAAAGGAACAATGGCAGCCTGGGTGCTGTGCAAATGTAGATAAATCGTTGAGGCAAGGCACAGTCTACACATAATTATCAGCCAGAAAGAATAAGAAATAAAGGACTTTCAAGGCAACCTGGTTTTAAACAAACATGGAGCTGATCTGTACTTCAGCATCTACTGGAATTTCTCAGCAGAAACTAAGACACTCTGAGACCTCGGGGGTTAAGGGAAGATTTTGTACAGACTATTGATATCTACCTTTTGGATTTGAACACACGAACGTGGAAACCTGCCAGATTTCAGCTTCCTTCATTTAGCATCTGCACTGCATTTTATTTGTATATACTCCATCAATATTCACACTTACACTCCAAGATAACTTGAGCTCACCTAGAGCTCACCATTTATGTGCAGAACAGTAATCTAAAAGCACCTGTACCTGTTTGGCAGCCTACCCACAAACTTCCTTTTAGCATGAGTATGCTCGGATTGTTTGAAATGAAGATAGACTGCACTGATTCATAAGAACAGACTAGAACAAGACCGTGCTGAGCCAGTACAATGTCAGCATTGTCACTGCTTGTCTGGGGGCTGCAAGAGACCAGATGTGCCACTTAGTAGGCTGGATTTCTTATTCCCATTTTCAAACTCACTCTTGATGAGGTGCTCCTGTCTTCGTCAGCAGGGTCAGGACAAAAAACATAAAGATGACAAAAACTGCAAGACCAACCCAAAATCCAATCACAATGGAATCTGGTGAAAAAAAGAGAAAACAAGATGATCAGTATTTTACCTGCACTTGCAGAAAGCTGCCTTCCACATGCACCATGACTGCAAATCCAAAATAATTTGCAGGTTATTCCTGGGCGGCAAAGAGGAAGAATGATCAAATTTATCATTATGTATGTTTAAACAGAAAGTTGCCATTGAAATTCTCATTTCTAGCCTGAATTTTACTGATATCTAGACAAACTAGAAAGAAAATTAAAGAGGGAAGATACTTATTTCCCTTGGTTAATAAAATAAGAGCAGCTACCTTTGTGATGCCTGGCCCATTTCCAGCATTGTGCTTTGGAAACAACTTCAGTGCTAGAACTCAGAAGAGAGGTTTATCTTATTTGCAGCAAAATCCTTTGTCTTTGTAGAACTGAACTCCTGCTATTTTAAATTATTTCTGCCCCAGACCATTAGGTTTCTGAGCTTTAATGGATTTCTTTGACACAGTATGTTTAGGAAGACCTAACTTTCTTTTAGTGGCAAGACAGAGGGTTTTCAAAATAAACAGAACCACAGATAAAACTATTTGCTTCTTCAACAAATATGAATAATCAACATGACCCCCTCTACAGCAAGCACCACAAGGACTCTCTCACCGGGGGATGAACAGGAGCTCCTCTGTGACTGCAGAGGGGATGGAGTTTCCCTTATGCAATTTATGTGGTGTGCCGAGGTTATTTAGCATTAAGGCCCGAGCTAGACAAACAATGAAGTCTAAGCCTACTAGCAAGAGACTGTTGGTATGGGAAATTTCACTAGGAAAAATAAAAAAGTATAAAACTATAAAAAAAGCTGATCCACAATTGCTCCTGAGGGAAGTTCAAAGTTTCCAGAAGCTTGATTTAGAGAGGTCCAGTGGGACAAACATATCTCCAGACAACAATCAACTGATGATCAAGGACCAAAGATGCAGAACACCAAAACAAAATATGACCTGGTCCAGCTACTTTTTCAACTATCAGTTAGCTATTTTTTGTTTATGCAAGTTTTCAAAACTTCCACCGTAGAAGTACAAAACAATTAACACACAAACATGCAAGAAGGAAGTCTTGGTCAGGACAGGAATCCTTTCTACCCTTAACCCCTCATTACACAGCCACTACCAAACCTCAGAGATCCTCGCTGGCTGTAAAGCTACATGATGATCTGTCTGACCCAGTGCAGCAGGCACAGCACAGAACTGTTGAATTTCCTACAGCACTAACTAAAGAGAACAAAAACCCAAGGAATCAGTTATCCTGCCTGGTACTTGACCCCAGCTGTTAATCACACTCCCACTGTGAAATATCTTCCATGCTAAAAGGCATATGTGAAAATTGGAAATCAACTCAAATCATTTGTTCTTTCCCTGCAAAGTCAAAATGCCTGCTGCAACCTGAGATTTTTTCCCTGTGAAAATCAAGTCGCTCCTTAATTCCTTTCTCTAGTAAAGTAAGGAGGTTAAGTTTCAAGTCTCCCACTGCAATATTTATTCCATCTCTCCTATGCCACATCTTCCCCTCTCAACACCCTGTGTAAAATAACTAGAGCGCGGTGCAACTGTAGGTCTCCGTGATGGGGGAGTTGAGTTTGTAATACCCCTTTTTGCTTAAAGTATACTGGAATGAGTTTATTTCTGTTAATTATGTGCCCTACTTTCCTTTCAGAACCATTCTGTAAGTATAGCCTGTATGCAGTGGTTCAAGATGCACCTTGTGTTGGACCTTACTAATAGAAAATAATTCATGATTATCTACCATCCTGCTGGACTTTGTAATACCCAAAAATTTCATCTAAAAAGAAATACTCCCATAAAAAATTTACCACTTAACCAGCTACTAGTAATGACCAGTTAGTCAGACATGCTTGAATTATATGCAACTGAGTTGATAACTAGAATGTAAAGTGTGACCAAGATGACTAAAAAATATGCACATAGATTATATTGATCGAGCTGCAAAACTTAATCCATTAACTAAGGTGGCAGGGGGAATTTAAAAAAAAAATAATTCTGGTAAACTACTACTCCCCACAAAACGCACACCCACCAGCATTATGTGATGAATAACAAGCCTGTCTTGCAGTTTGTTTGTTGTTCCTCCCCCAAAAAGGAATTCCTAAGTTTACTGAGCATAAAGCTACATCTGCCTTGCTTAATTGTGCCTCCTGCCACACTTCCAACCTCCTGCTGTATCAGTTACATTATTTAGATTTGTTTAAAATACAAGGATGTGGCCTGAGTTCTCTTCAGTATTTCATTTAGGTCTCACTCAAGTGCAAATTATCCAAATCTACTAACTTCTGAACAGTTACTCAAAATAAACAGTACATAACACAACTTCTGTTCAAAAAATATGGCATGAAGCACTTGCGTTTATAATACTGCCCTAAGTTATGAATAGATTGTAAAAGTATACCATGACTTTCTCAAGTTGCAGTTTCAACCTTCCTTTTCCTTATAATAGACTCATAACATCCTGACAGCAGATCTGATTGCCCTGATCATTCCTACCTATCTTACCTCTCCAATGTTTCTGAGGTTCTCTCTGTTTCAAAGGCACAAAAAAGGATTTTGTTCTTTTCTCTGCCAGTCACAAGTATCTCTTAATATATTTGTCTATTTACTTTCTAAAGCTTTAATTTACAAAACATCTGGTCCCTACTCTTGTAGATTTTCTGATTTCTAGTTCCTGCTTTCAATCCTCCTCAGACAGAACATCCTTTTTGGTTTGTTTTTTTTTTCCCAGTCATATATTTGAAAAGTCACTGTGGCATTTGAATACCTCATCTTCTCCCCACCTCCACTGTTTTTAAGAAATGTATTTTTGTGTATTAGATTGTTTTGTCAATCCTTTTCTTCACAGGTCACTTTGAATAAATTTTTCTCTGCTTTCAGAAACAGTCTTCTGAATTCCTTTATATATACATCAAATATTAGCAACCTCCCCTTGCTTACAGTTAATTAAATCAATGTTAATCCAAAAGTGTCCTCCAGCTCTCTCTTGTAGAATTCCTCCTATGTTATGGTTGAAAACAGTGCCCTCTCATTTTAGGTAGAATACAGTGTATAACAAATAAATAAGTAATAATAAGAAAAAATCATACACCTCTATCTTTAAGAAGAGCCAATGATGTTTTACAGTTGGTCAAGTGTTACTGCCAGCCTGCCTCACCTAGACTGGAGTCCATTCCCCATTGAGATCTCCGACATAAAAATTACAGGCGTTCATTAACATCTCTTATTTGTAAATATCCAAGGTGTCCCTCCTAATACAACCCCGTGTAATCTCCTCCCCTCCTTCCTCCTCATCTTAGGATTTCAGAGAACTTCATGTCTGATCATATCACCTACATATTTCACAACAGTCTCAACCCAGCTGCTAATAGCCAGAACAAGACACATTCCAAGAACATACCAAGTCAAGAAATATCATCACATACACAACACAGACATAGACTGTTCTTTTACTAGATTAAACTCTGCCCTCAGAGGAATGCATGCAGTAACACCGAAGGTAACAGAGTCAACTCCATTCTGTCAGTTAAAACAAACACACAAACAAAACTAAAAAACAGAAACAAAAGAAAACCACCAAAAAAACAACAGAAGGGATTTCCTAGGTCACTGATTCAGTACTGCTAACGACATCTTTCATCAAGCTCCACCTGAAAAGCAGTTGTTACTTCTGTCCTGTTCTCTAGTAAGAGCTGTCCAGAATGTTCCTGCTCTGTGAACGACACAGCCAGACAGGGAAGCTCAGCTGCCACACTTAGCATGGCAATCACTTCAATGGCAATCCAAGATCTGATTTGCAGCTATGCCTTCCACAATCCAGAGACAACTATCATTTATATTTTTTCTCCCATCATGCTGGTTGACACACCGAGCTAAAAAGAAGATATGTACATAACACTGCAGCTAATCTTTGCAATTGGTAATAATTGCAATCAGGTTTGGCCTCTGATTAAGTGGAAGTATGGAAGATAACTTAGAAACATGACAAAAGCTAAGCTAAGTTTTTCAGGTACCGCTCATTTGTAAAAATACAGACACTAACCAGCAGACTTTTTTTCAGAAAAAAAAAGATAAGTACAATTCAGACTAAAAACCAATTCTAGGTTTTTTCTTTTTTTTTTCTTTTTTTTTTTAGCATTAATAACTTTATCAAGTATGTATCCCACCCTGGACCAGTGCTCCAGCGCTGAAGAGACCCTTTCCCAGTACTTTGACGACTGATGCTCAAACCCTCTCACAGTGTATCCAGATCAGAAATAAAGAAACAAGATTGGTTGTTTCTCTTTGACAAAGTGCTTGCAAACCATCAGGTAATTCTGAGTTGGTCTCTGTTACTTTTTTCCCCCTCTTTATTTGTTTTTCCCCCCCACAACCATCTCCTCTAAAAAAATAAATCATAAAATCCAAAGCCATTGTCTACATTTTAGACAAATGTTGGTCTAGCTCTACTAGCTTGTCCTAGCTAAATTTTCTCCCAATTCCAAGCCATATTTTTCATCTCTCTGGTCCCTATTGTCCACTTATTACTTCTACTGTAAACACTGTGTAACACAGTTATTAGAACACTGAATTTAGCACACTCCTTCCATGAGGAAAGTTCAAATGATAAAAGTTTGCTCAGAAGGAGAAAATTCTTCTTTTATTTTAGGTCTTATAAAAGCCTTACATTTATTTTCCATGAAGAAAAACAAAAGCAGTAAGGCTGTCCACCACTGCCTTTTTACCATTAAAAGGAGCAAGAGCAAAGCAACACAGATCATACCGAGTAGTCACCAGAAGCAGCAGTGGCTGTGTCTGCTGTTGTAAACTTTTCTGACAGTATTAGTTTTGACAAATTTCTACCACAGCCTTGGTTCTTTCATGCACAAGAAAAACAGTCAACAAAAGGACACAGAAAAATAAACAATTATAATAATCTAATAAATAGAGTAATACCTCTAACTGCAGAAAATCTTAAGAATTAGGAGAGAGATATTTTTGTGCAATAATCAGTCACAAATGAAGAGTAGGAACATTAAGACAGGAAGCTCAGCTGCAATAAAATATGTCTCTACTGAACTTACATTTATGAGCCTTCAGGCCTTCAAATGACACTGGTCCATACTCATAGTACTCGTAGTCCCAGGTGTAATCAGAGTTAGACGAGGCCTGCTGGGAAGTTCTATTAGAAGTCAGCCTCAGGGCAGACATCTTGCATCTCAATAAATATGTATCTGTGGATACGAACTGTGTTAATAGAGACTACATACTTCTACCACATCTTTTGGTTTTATAAAGAATGTTTTCTTATCTATTGGAGAAGCCACTGCCTCATCCAGACAAGGTTATCACATCCCCTCCCATTCCTTCACCCATCTTGGCTGGCTAACCAACAGTTAACACAGATCTCCTCTTCACTGGAAAGAAGAAAACTTATTTTCACCTCCACAGAGATGTGTGTAAGTGTACAGAATATCAAAACCAGGTTCCTCTGATTGAATACAGATTTCATAGCTTGAAAATAATACATAATAAACACCACCAACCTCTGCATCTTAGGATGAATGCAGCCAGAGAAATCTGAGTGGAGAATTAGCGAGACTACTACTATGTTATCCATACAAAGCCCAGCTGGCCGCTGGTTGTCAGTGGTACCCCTCAGGGACTGATACTATGCTGAAATGGAGCAGACATACCAAGTTCACAAATTATGTGGGGGACAGTCAAGAGGCTGGAGGGCAGACTGCTGCTTAGAGAGACCAGGACAAGCTGGAGAAAGGGAGCAACAGGAACCTCATGAGGATCATCACTGCAAATGCAAAGTCCTGCATCCAGGAGGGAATAACCCCACACAGCAGTGCAGGCTGGAGGTTGACTGACTGGGAGTAGCTCTGCAGAGAAGGACCTGCAATGAACAACTAGCTGAACATGAGTCAGCCGTGTGCCTTGCGGCAAAGACCACCAAGTGTGTACTGGGCTGAATTAACAGGAGTGTACCAGCAGGTCAGGAGAAGTGTTTACTCTTCTCTACTCACCACTGGGAAGACCATATACCAGTTGGTATCCTAATTATAGAAAGACATAGGTACACTGGGGCAAGTCCAGTGAAAGGTCACAAGGATGGTTAGGGAGCTGAAGCACAGGATGCATGAGAGCTTAAGGATTTGTTCAACCTGGAGAAGAGATGGCTCCAGGGAGACTTTAGTGCTGTCTACAGTTAGAGTTGGAGGGTACAGAGATGATGGTGCCAGGCTCTTCTCAGAAGTGCAGAGTAAGAGGACAAGAGGCAATGGACAAAAAATTGGGAAACAGGAAATTCAAATTAGATACAAATTAAAATTTACCTATCTAGTCAAACATGCTTTGTGTAGGAGGTTGGACCAAATGACACCAAAGGTCCCTTCTCTACGCTGATAAATGGGCTCAATATGTCACTGAAGAAGGAAAATAAAATGAGTGATTTCCCCCATGGATTAACAAAAACTGCAGTACAACCCTAAGCATCGTTAAATTATCTGGATAGATATTTCTGTCATTACCACCACTCTGTATTAGGGACTTGCCTTTTGCAGAGTAATTTTTTCAGAATATGAGACTGTTTCATGCACATCAAAAAAGAGCACATCTCTGCACAAAACGTCTGCTGCAGCAGCTGGAGTCAGGGCATCCAACTTAAAACATATTACAAAATACTACTTGTAAAAGCAAGTTGAGCTTTGGGTAATTTTGCATTCAGTTAAAACCCAGCAGGATTGACCAAGGCTTCAAGTGCTAGGAGAACCATACATAAAGAACAAAAATGAGGTACAAAATGAGAAACGCATTCACCCAGGGAATATGAACAGCATTTCAAATTTAAAAAAATTGTTCTTTCTGCAACTATTTTACCATGAGCAAATGCTGGCAGTAATGCCTCAAAACAATTTTAAATAAATATTATGCCTGAAAAAGTAAAACTTCATACCTAGTTACAATGTTCATAACCTTAAACACATACCAAAACTTGACTTACAAGTGATAAATCCTTTAAAACAATAAATGGATCATTTTTCAACCCAAACCAGTTTAGTTTTCACAATAAGCAACCTGACAGCAGGAAAGGTCTGGGGGACAGGGAGAGAAGATTCTCCACTTTATGCTCACCCCCCTCCTAGCCACCCAGAAAGCCTCCAGCAAGAATAAGTAGCCCAAAGCACAGAGGAGAAAGAAAGATGGCTATGATGGACAACCCAGTTCATGGGATTCCTGTCCTAGTTTGTTCCCATCTCAGCTCTGTCAGTTGTTTCTTACAAGAGTTTGTATTTCATTTTGTGACTGCACTCCAAGAGACTACATGGTGCTACACAAGGTTCCCATCATTTTTCTTCCCCTTCTCCTTGATGTTTTGTTGATGACATGTCTTGACAAATTTTATTAGCCCAGTCCTGTTTAAGGAGTGCTTTTCTCTTTTAGAGCCTTCCAGACAAGTCTGTCATTCATATATTCCTCATAGGGCATCACTAATATTCAGTCACCTCCCCCCTTTTAGTATCATAAAAAGAGCTGAAATCTACAGGCAGTAAATTTCAGAGTAGGACACATGAACAGTCTGAAAAATTTTGTTTCTTCCATCTCAGGTGCAGGCAGATGGGATTAATTGGGCTACATGCAAATCTCTCCCCCAGTCTAGTCTCTAGTGCCCAATTATGGTTTATGGCGAGTAAAGCCACCTCCAGAACACAAAGAATCTGTCCCACTTCAGTATGCAGTTTGGACTGGGTGCTCCAGAGTTTCATCACTGACTGCCAGCGTTTCAAGATTTACTTTCACTGTAGACAAGCCACTATCAAAGGGAGAGTCACTAACTGAAACCTGGGTCACCAGCTCCCAGGCTAATCTGTGCTTTGAGGGACATACAAAATATGCCTCTAAATCATCCAGTACAGTTAAGCATTAGCATTGTCCCAAACCAGTTTACAGCTCACTTGTAAGCTCTGTCTGTCCAAATACCTCCAAAACCTCAGCCTGAAGCATGTGAATACCAACCTTTCATTCTACTTAAAAAGCCAGTCTAGCATGGTGGTACAAGGAGCACCACAGTGAAAGCAGTGAACACTTAGACCTTGCATCTCCTGGGGAGGAGCAAAGCAGGGTGAGCTGGCATGCTAGCCACTTGTCAGGTGGATTTGCCAGGCTGCAGCAGGTCACAGAGGGACTTCAGGTAAGGGTTGCAAGGAATGAATTCCTCCAGGAGATGCACTAAAACACACTTTCTGCCAGGCATGGAAAGCAGTGATTCATCCCACAGTCTAAAGCATGACAGAGGGCTTCTCCAAATGACTTTGCTGAGGGTTTTTCTGGGGGGCACAGGAGTTGTTTAAGATAAACATGAAAGCACCTCTGTTGATTTTGATGTGTATGGATGCAGACAGTCTTTCCTCACTCCAGCTCACTTCTTTCAGGAGCAAGTAAGTAAGCAACACAAAGCTTCACTTTGACTACTCAAGAAACCCCAAAGCAGGGCTGTGTTCGGTGCTGCAAACCAGGAGATTCAGGCAGATCAGTATCCTGGAAACTAAAAAGGGCAAGTGCTCATGGCCTTTTTCTGGAGCACTGGATTCCTCTCTGCAGATAAAGGATGTCAACAGATACCCAACACTCCCCATGCAACTCCTGGAGTTAAATTATACCTTCATGAAAACTTATTTGTAACCTGTGGGAAAGTCTGTAAGTCTACAAGCTTGCCTGAGAGCTGCCAGTGGTCCTGAGCTAGTTTGACTGTTGGGCTATATTTGCACAACATCCACAACTTTGAACTCCAGCAGCAGGGCATAAAATGCTGTGCAGTTTGACTATTTGCTTCAATCTGGACATCATCCATGCAATTGCATGAGGGTCTCAGCCACTTACCTTTCAAAATGAGTCACTGTAAAAGCAAAACTGAACACACATCACATCTGCAACACAACTTCATGGCTTGCACCATCACTGGGGCCACAAAGGCATATCTGTTTTTGCGTATATCTGAAATTGGCCTTGTATGTAACCAGCAACAACTACCTCCGAAGCTGACCTGCATGCACAAAATAAAACCATGTGGACTGGTCATGAGCTGTTCATTTTTTGAGCAAGAGAAACTACCAGTATGGTAGACACGAGCAACTTTTCAATCAAAAATTGTCAATGAAAAACTGCATTTATTTTCTACATACTTCTATTCTGCTCACTGCCATGGAATCTAAGCACTTCATAGTCTTCATAGAAGTTGCCCCCTTGCAAATTCTGAAGATCCCAAGAGCTAGACATGGGAAAAAAAGTAGCAACAATTCAAACTGTGAGAAGCCCCAGCCTGAGAAAGCTTAGCACTACACCCTGATGCATCAGCTCCATCATCTGGGCAGTACAATTAAACCAGAAGTTATTGGCTATGAGAAGTTAACAACTCAGGCTGTCCCCATATCCCCTAAGTCCCCAGACCAACAACAATATTCTGCAGGGAGGAAAGGGAGCCAGCCACCCCCGCATTCCTTTTTACTCCATCCCAAAGACTAAGAGGTGAAGTCAGAGAAAAAGCAAATAAAAAAACAAACACAAACTTATTTACTCTGCTGCATTGCATCAGCTGAAAAGTAATACAGACCCCATCTTTCTACAACTCTACCACACGGCTATCGCTTTGAACAAGCTGTGCCACTCCCAACCACAGACAAGGAGGTAGTCTGTAGCAAATTCTTACCCTAATGGTCCTTGCTTCTTTGTAATTCTCAGGATCCTAGATGGGCATGATTTGAGATCAAACTTGTGGTCTTTTCAGGGGAATACCCAATCCTACCTGCAATAAAAGAGAGAAAAGCAAGCTATAAAAAAGAAATGAAATTTAACCAAAAAAAAAAAAGATATCTGGAAACTGACAGTACAATTTAAAATCAATCATACATGCCAACTCTGAGTGCAGGACACCTAGGTCTTTTCTTGGAGAGAAAAGGAAGTACAATGGTGACAGTGGTTATGTTTATGACCAATGTTCACAAACAGCATTATCTGCATGGGCTATTGCACTAAAATAACAAGAATAATGTTGGATTCATCACAAAAGGACTTTATAACAATGGAAAGGAAAAAAGCTGGTTTAGTCACTGTTTAACCTGGGAACTAAGGATGAGAAAGGTAACGGAGTTACAGACATCTGCGCTTCATACTACCATATTACACATCATACAACATCCATTTTATTATCCTTATAACTGTGCAATGTAAACTAGACTCCAACAGTCAACTATTTATGCATCACACACAAATTCTTATTAAAATATCTTACTTTCCATATACTAATGCTTAATATCTTGCTTGGTACTAACACTTAATATCCTGTATTACGTGTGCTGTAAAAAGTCTCCACAGCATTATACACAATTTGCATGCTAATTGTATAGCTACTGTTTGTACTTAGTTTAAAAGTGATAACATTATGACTTCAAAGTAAAATTTAACAAAGACCAAAACAGTTTGCCAACTATTTTCCTAAAGTCAATAACAATATATGTAAACACTAATGCCCACTTAGCAGTTCAACTTCCACATGGAAGTTAAGGCAGAAACTAATATGAAATAATATCATAGTATGAGTTCACAGGCAACTGTATGGATCTAAAAACAAATAAAGCAAATATTGTGTAACCTCACTCATAAGCCTTTCTGAGAAGACAAGGAAGTATATACCTAACATAGCATCACAGAAGCTCTGTATTCCTTTTGCTCTTAAAAAGTTTCAGTCCTGCACTAACAGTAAAGGGACATGGAACGGTTAGTATAGAGCTAGTGGGACTTGCTCCCAAAACACATTGAAGCTTAGCTTAACTCCAGCACCAAAATCTTTAAAAATTACAGCTGGCATGCACAGTCTTAAGAGACAGTATTATCTAAAAGTAAAAAGGATTAGCCATAATTCCATTTATTTCCTGCATCTAGGGCAGGATTACACAATCAGTACTGAGCCCATTTTCCTTTCCTCACTAAAAGTCAACCTTCTCATAGATGTGCAGGTATGGCAGCTGCAAACCCAACTTCCCTCAAGATCAACCAGACTGGAAGAAGCCCTATTAGTGAGCACTAAAATACTGAGGCTTTTTCAGTCCTATATTGTTACAAATGCTGACATCAATGTTATATATAAGTATATTCAACACTTTCCAAGAGAAAGGCTGCCTTTCCCTCAGCTGTTTATAATATTGCCCATTTTAACCTTTCTCACTACAAATTTTTCACCTTTCAGTAATATCACAGAGATCCCAGGCTGATTTGTTATAGAAAACCCTGAAGTGAAAGAGCCCTGGCATATCCACTGATGAGGTAAGAGTGAACTGTAATGCAAGTTTGCAACTGGCCTGCCCCAAAAGTTTCTGCTTTTGGGCTGTATTATTTTCCTTCATTTTCCTGGCTTAGCAAAGTAGTCCTTTTTTTTTTTTAATTTTTTTAAAATGTCTCTTTCTGTTAGCTTTATTCTCACAGAAAGCTCAGTGCTTAGATGGTGATCTTCTGATTTCCTTGCTAACCCTGAAGTCTGTCAATATGAAGCCTTATTCTGAGCAGAGAGAAAGGAAAGCATCTCCCCACCACACTCTTACTGATCAGCACACTGCAGGTCAACTGGAATGGCTCCATCAGAATACGAGTACCTACAAATTGCTTTTAAAATAACTTCTACTTGCTTTATCATGTAAGAACCTATAAAAAATAGCAGCCTCCATAGCAGGGACAGAACAAATACTATCATACTTTTAATAACTAAAAGATGAAATTAACTTTTAAAGTAAAAAAGTCTCACTGAGAATTTATCTCAATGCATAAAGTTACTAGACTAGATTTACTCAAACTGGCTAGACTACAAGTCGTGAAGAAACACTGGAAGCATAGTCTTGCATGTAGCCAGAAAATCGACTGAATCCAAGAACAGGAGGTACTCAGGAATATTTCAAATAGCCACAACTAAACTGACCATTTTTAATAGGGGCAAGGCTGAAAGAAGGAACTACTCTTGTGTGATTGTTCCTGGGAAACTCAGCACTGATAAACAGCTAGAATTCCCTGGGCTCCCTTCCTGCCAATTACCTGGGCCTGCAGATGTCCCGTGCCCCGCAGCAGCTACCGCTGCACAGTCCTCTCTTACCAACCCCACAGGGATCCCCACCACAATGTGCAAGGCTCAGGTTTAAATGCAGAGCAGATGTTCATAGGGTTGCACAGCCCAGAAAATGGAAGAGTGTGTTCAGGCACCATTTAAGAGCTCTGTTTTAGCTTTGCATCAGTGAAAAAGCCACCGCAGCGCTGAGGCTGACAAGCAGAGTGGAAGCAGAGTACAATTTCCTCTCTCTCATTACAAAATTAAACTCTAATCTTCACGTAATGTTCATCTGGTCTGAAGTACAGGCCACAGCACACGTCCCATAGCACCTATTTACTTCTTACTGGTTCTCCCTGCAGAAATAGTTCTGTTCCCAGGTACAAAAGACCATTTGTCAGAGCTACGCCCACACTTGGGTATCTCACAGCTGGGGTCTGACAGTGCTGTGGTGGAAAAATCTTCAGCTGATGCTCTCACCCACACAGGGTCTGTAAAACGTAATCTCTCTGATGCAAAATAACACTTAAGCTTTTAAATTTGAAAATAAGTAATTCAATTTGAATTATGTATTACATTTCCTGAAGAACTAATAAAATAAAATTATGGAGCTTTTCTTGAAAACTTCCACACCTGTATGACAAGCACTTTCTGAACTTTTGTAGTTAGCCTACAACACGATGCAGAAATTTTGCCTTAATTGGTTCAGTGACAATTTCAAGCACTCACTGAAATGGAGCTGTTCATTAAGTCAAATTGGCTTGGGATTTTTCTGAACAAGAACTGGGTTTTTTCCCTGTCTTTAATCTAATTCTTCCCTCCAGTGCCGCTTAAGAAGACAACAATTTGTTGTAGTGCCTCAAATGCAGATTTCCTCCCAGGTAAATCAGACAGCAATACACAGCTCACAGACACACACCTGAATGTTCCCATTCTTAATCCCTGCTCCATTTCTGTGTTACACTAGGCTATAAAAAAGTAACTAGATGCCACGGAAACATCACTAAAACAAGTACAACCATGGCCCATTGCAGTGAGTATGCAGAATAAAGCCTTCATCTATTTGTAATAAGATTTGTAATAAATTTTTACCAGCAATAGCTGCTATTACAGGTTCAAAGACTGGAAATTTGATTTAAACTGTTGAAAAGGTGCAGGAGTATCATCTGTGCTTGACTCAAAACCTCTTCCACCATAATGTGTACATGGATGATCAGCAAAAGAATATGCAGTAAATGACTTTGTCCAGATCTTCATATTCTGGATTTTATTTTCTTAAAAAAAAATTACTTTCTTGCAATAGCTTGATTTATTTTATACATATTTGGTTGTGATTGATACACAGAATATCTCATTATTTTTGCGAAGAATGGAGCCACACTGTCCTCAGCCAATGGAGATCTGCAGTTCCCTTGGCATCTTTCCAGGTATTTACTCCTGTTGTCAAAATTATCTTGACTCTCTGATTAGGAACCGGAATAGAAAACCACAAATGGACAACAAAAACAAGCTGAGTGTGAGACCATTGCCTGATTATCTCCAAGCAGAAACCAAAATATCTGTTTATTTCCACAGCACTTACGTAAATTGCATCCCTGTGAATACAGCCTCTGGAAAGCTCAAATGAGAGCAATGGAGCAAAACAGGAGCAGCTCCAAGACAGAGCAGTGGGCTGGGAAACACACCTGGAAACAGAACCTGCTGTCTTCAGTGAAGCCCAACCAGCCTTGCCGAGACAGTTTGAGACAGCACTGCCACTGCTGCCCTGTCCCTCTACCAGCTATGTCTGTCACAGCAAAAGTGCCAAACCAGCTCTCAGTTACCCTCCAGTTTTAAGTGCCAAACAAGGCTGGTATGATAGGATGAACAAGGCAAATGTCAGAGAACAGAGACTGCTCAGAGAGTTTTGCCAGCTCATCACTGAGGTGATCCTCTCCAGCAAAAAAAATGGCAGACAGTTCAGGAGAGGGACCTGAACTGCCGTGAACACTCACTGTCAACAGAGAGGGCTCGCCAGAGTAGGAGACCACTGAGATGACAACTATTAAAAAAAGAGACAGTTAAGAGAGAAGGAAAGAAAGGGGGGGAGGGGGGGGAAGGAGTATGAGAATCAACAGAAGACTAGGGAAGAGCAGATAGGGAAAGGGAAGAAGGCAAGACAGAATAGAAGTAAGGTTGTATGGTATGGAGAAGAGGTGTCATCCCTTCAGCCTGAAAGTACAATGGGAAGGAGATGCCATCTGAAAAAAAAAAAAAAAAAAAAAAAAAGAAGGAAAAAAACACCACAAGAAAAACATACAATAAACTTATCTTGCTTTTTTCTCTCCCCCCCCCCAAACGTTCTACATTCAATTTTTAAGTTCATTCAAATGCTCAGCAGTCAGAGCAAAACACAACATACAATTTGAGAACACTGAAAATAATCTCTATGCATTTCAAGCAAGCTCGTGCTTTGTAGCTGTTTTGCTTCTGAATACAGAAGAAATCTCTCCGTTGCAAATTCAGAAAGGAAATACAAGCGTTTCTACAGCCGCTTTATTTTCCATGTCACCCAAACGAACAGTGCCACCTCATCCTTTTTTAAATTATTATTGTTATTTAAAATAAAAGCGCAGTACTCCAGACCTTAAGGCTTGCGGGAGCCGACTGGTCTCTTTTCCAAAACGCTCCAGACACCTGTTAACCGCAGGCTGAACTACGGGCGCTCGGAGCTTCCCAAGCCGCCCAGGCGGGAGCACGCACCACCGTGAGCCCTACCCCGGGGCGGGAAGGGGTGGAAAGGGACAGGAAGGGACAGAGTAGGGAAGGCGGAGCCGTCCCCGCCCAGCTCCGCTCCCTCACCCCCTGCCCCGCAGCGACGTCCCCTCCCCGCGCTTACCGCACCGGGCACGGCCGCGCTGCCGGCTCCCGAAACGCCGCTTCGTCCCGTGCGCAAGGCGCAGCCCCCCGGGAGCTCCCTGGCCCCGCCAGCCCGAGACAAGCCGGCGCTGCGGGGGAGCCGGGCGGGATGCTGCGGGCGGGATGCTGCCGGCGGGATGCTGCCGGCGGGCGGAATGTTGCGGGCTCGCGCCCCGCCACAGCCAGTGAATCATCAGCAGCCGCGGCTTCCCGGCCCGCGCGCGCGGCATGGATCGGGCGCGTGACGCTCCTGGTCCAATGGGCAGTGCGGGCGGGAGCGACCCCGCGGGCAGGGGCGGTGCCAGGAGGAGACGTGGGTGCGGCCGCTGGCAGCGAGCTCCAGGCAGAGCACCAGTAGGGAGTGACCCCTGCGTGCCGCTTGCCTGGCAGGAGCTCACACATTCCAAGGGGGAACATCAGTCTTGGAAGGAGAGGAATGGCCGGTCCGCACTGGAGGTGCTTGCACAGAGGGAGCCATTGACAGTGGTACCTGGTCGGGGGCAGGGGAGCTTGTGAGAAGTGCTGTCTCGGCTGCCAGGATGTGAAGGGCAGTGCCCTAAATCTATCGGGATTCAGTTCAGGCCTCTTGAACCATTTCACAGAATCACAGAATGGGTAAGGTTAGAAGGGACCAGGTGGGTCACATGGTCCAACCTCCCTGCTCAAGCAGGGTTATCCCAGAGCACATGTCACAGAACTTCGTCCAGACAGTTCTTGAACATCTCCAGTGAGGGAGGCTCCACAACCTCTCCGGGCAACCCATCCTGATCACCCTCACTGCAAAAAACCTCAATTTTTCTCATGTTCAATGGAAGCGTCATTTACTTCAATTTTTGTTTAATGCTTCTTGTCCTGTCACTGGACACCTCTAAGAACAATCCTATCCCGTCTTCTTTGCTCCCACCATCAATTCTTTATTGATAAGAGCACCCTGAGCTTTCTCTAAGCTAAGCAATCACAGCTCCCTTAGTCTTTTCTCATACATCTCTTGCCCAGTCCCTTCACCATCTTCATGCTTTTGATCATCCTCATAGTGATCAAGTGTTGTAACGAACAATATGACTTCATTTTTTTATCCGTGGCAAGGAAACAAGTCTCACACACCTTTCCAATGAAGCAACTGGCCTGCTGCAATACTCACACTCTAATGTTACAGCAGATCTTTGATAGTGCTCTGGCACTTACTCATTAGCCCTGTTTTCATCTACTTCTTGATAGGCAGGACTTTGATCTTGGACAGTACTATCCCTCTCCAGCAATGGTCATAAAAGATATCAATACTGTCATCTTCATCTCAAAAATATAGAACTGACACTTATACATGTTCATGATTATGAACAGGAATGGGATAAGCACAATGGCAAGTTGGGAACATCCCATTTGCTGCTATTTCCACTGTGATTGAAAAGTCAGAATGACTCAGGCTTTTGTTCATTTTTCTGTGCCTTAAAAAAATCTGGCATTCAAATTCCCTTTAAAAGAAAAAAGCCTCGTGAAGCCAATACGTCACTTCTAGCACAACTCCTGTGCTTTGTCCTTTAAGATTTTACAGCTTTTATACCAAATGCAGAAGAATCCAAACAAAACCCACAGATTAATGAACCAGAATTGTAGCATTTTCTCAAGATTCCTAATTTTGTTTCTAACACTTCTGATTAGTGAAAATGCAGAATTAATGACTACTCATTAACAGCAACATGACTGATATTGCAGTGGAAGAAACAGTGTTTTTGCCTGACGAGATGTGGAACTGCAGGTGCTCAACTCCAAGTGTAGATAAGGGTGCTGCACAATCTTTTTTCCATTCTTCCTGTCATTTCATTTTCTGACTCTTCATGCACATCATTAGTGTCTCTTCCACCTAACAGAGACAGCAGTGGGAATTTTTAAAAGACAAAGGAATTCAGCTGAGGGAAGAGGAGAGGCAGTGCAGGCATTCACGTTGTGGCTGACCAGAATGAGGATGGAGCTTCATCTGCAGCAGCTGCCCTCGTATGGCTCAGCAGCTGCGGCATCAGCCCTGGTTTTAGTGACGCAAAGATAGAAACAGTATCTACAATTAAAGGACGAATTCTGCAGAAATTCATTCTGCCATTCATTCTCACTTGCTGAATTTTTAGATTCATGTGTAGTTAGTGGCTGCCTGGGGTTCAGCAGCCATCTAGAAAGCAATAACAAAGAAAAAAAGCAACCCTTCCCACTGTAGCTTATTTAGAATTGACAAATAAAAAAAGCAGTCTTGAAAAGGAACATTATTACAGAGTGAAGAGCTTTGCAGTTCTTCCAGATTTCTGGTGTTTTAAACAGAAGGCAATAGAGGGATTTTCCTGTGCCACTTGTGACAAGTATAAGTATGTTACAAGAATAAAGTTGTTTGGTTGCATTTGTACGGTAATAAAAATGATATAAAGAAGAAAAACTTCAGCATTTTTATCATTTTTTCATACATATGAAAATCTTCTCAGGGTTGCAGATCTGCAACAGGCTGCCCAAGTTATCTTGCCAGTGCTGTTGATAGACAATTGTACTTACAAATTCAGGGTTCAAAGTTGCCAAAAATTGATTTTGATTTTTCCTCAGACTCTGCTGAATTCCTCTCTTTGTCATGTTTTAGGAGAAATATTATAGGGAAAAGCATATTTTATGTACCTTTCAACATGAAAGTAAATTAGAAGGTAAGACTAAAATATCCATGAATGTAGAGTGAAGTTTTAACAGAAGCCACCTGTGCAAATCTACAGACAATGAATAAGAAGTGTGTTACTCTCACACTGTGCTCATGTCTTGTAGCCATATCACTTTCACAAGTGATAATTTTTAAGATTGAATTAATAGCTTTAATAGAATTAAGTTAAGGTTGCAGAAAAACTATGGGGAAATGCCATGTTGTGCAAGTGGAATAGCTTCTGAGAGACCCTCCTTGCCCACAGTGGCAGTAGAGAATTAACCTTCTCCTATCAGAGCTCTATTCCGGTGCTCTTACATTCAGTTATTGAAAATGCTGTCTCCTTTCCCTCTGGAGTTTGAAGCTCTTAGTACCATTTCTGTGAGTTGTTTCCTAGTATATTCTTATGGTAGCTGTGTAATTATAGTTAGCATTCTTTGAATAAGGTTCAGAGTCCTGAACACTGCATCTCTTTTTTCCTTTTAGTAACCCATTTTAATTTTTCAGTGAAGATAGATCAGAACATGGGCATTATGCCAGCATCAGCCACAGAAAAAGTAATTATCACCTCTCTACTGATTCTGCATATTCTCCTTTTAAGTAAGGCATAGAGTTGACATATCTCCTTCATAACAGCATTTATGTCCTTTACTGATAATTTAAAACTGTCTTTAAAACATATTCAGAATCATAATTTCTAGCATATACTCCTTTTTTCTCTGTGTGTGACCTGGAGTCCATGTTCCTCTCTACAAGCTCCATGTTCTAAAGTACCTTTTAATAATAAAATAAAAAAATAGCCAAGTAAGTTTATGCTTATGCTGACTTGCCACTGAACAAGCACCCCACCTGATATAAGCTTATTTGCATTTTAATGTGATTATCTGAACATGGAGCAGATATTACATGTAACTTGCAGTTATTTTTATGAGACAAACTTGTAATTCAATGTTAAAACTTATTTATAGTTGTTAGATATACCCTAATTCCCTCAAAAGTACTAAGTGATTGTTAGGCTTTGAATAACCTCATCCCTCTATTTACTGTTACGAGTTAAAACAAACAACTTCCTCTAACAGCCAGCAAATATCAGTAATCAAATGTTTGGGCAATTGTACTCCAACACTTGCAGTTACTTCTCAGTCAAGTACAACTTCTGAAAAGAAAGAATAAGTTGCCCCCAGTACTTGCAGTCTATACTTGAATTTAATAGATTAATCCTTTGCTAGTCTTTATGCTCTTTTACCCAGCTGTGGTAACTTATCTAGGTTGTGCCTGCACAGATCCTCTCATCTAGTCCTTTTGTTCATGCATTAGCACAGCATCCCTTTCACTTGGTATTTTGACCACAGAATAAATTCTTTTCAGCCATCACATTACACCCTTTCTTGTTCCTGGAACAGCTGCTGTTTCTGCGAGTTGGAGAGGGATAAAAAAGCCCTCAAAGGTTTCCAGGTCAATCTTGTAAGCCAAGCAAGGAAAGAGGAACAGGCGGACTTAATTCCAATAGAATCCAGATATGGTTTTCTAAATATTGTGTTGGATATGAAGGAGCTTTATTCCCATGAAACTACTCATGAGTCACAGGCATTATATCCTAGTTCATTCTACAGATTATGGTTCTGTCATACTTCAACAAAGTGATCTGCAGCAACTGCCAAGC